CCGCAGTAGAACCAGAGTGACCGACATAGCCAAACGGTTAGATGTAGTGAGGACCTGGTAAGACATGTAGGAATTCGATGGATGCAGGTGGCTCAGGACCGTGCTTTGTGGCATTCTTTGGGAAAGGCCTATGTTCAGCATTGGACTTGTGTAGACATGTAATGATGATAATAGTGATGAATACAAAACTTATGGCATAGCAATCGCCATTTCCATATCAATAGTGTAACTTTTAGTGCGCGAAAGTACATAATAAGATACACGCACTTTATTTGGTCTTTTTTGGTGATGGACTCGTGTGCTTTTGCCGGTGTCAAGTAATAAGAAATCTTTTATAATAATTTGTTAAAAAAAACTTCTTCACAATATGTTGATGCACCACATTGTGGAGTTTAAAGAGATTTTGATGGCAGCTTGAGCCAACAGACATTCACATCAAAATCGGAGAACATGTATGTTACATCGTTTCCACTAATATTTCACATGGGTACATTTCATGCACAAAATCGCACCTTTATGTATCAAAATCCACTTTAAACCTCTATTTAAACAATCGTTTATTGCTATTGTTTATACTATATATTGCTAAGCTATTTAAATTATCTTTGCTAGAGATTACCTCTATTGTCTTATTATCTAATTTAATTTCTTGGAACTGGTTCCAAATCAAATGTAAAATTATTTTGTTGCTCAAAAGAAGCAGGTTTCAAGGTAGCCAAATCATCGGGTAAGTTAAAATATAAATAATAAGATAGCGTATTCGCTACCAGTCTTAAACTATACTTTGATAGGTAATACCTATCTCTTGTCAAAAACTTCTTAGTTAAATTATTAATATCAATCAAATGAAATTTATCATTATTATTCTTACAATCAAATGTCAAATTTAAGTTATTGCTACATGTCAAGTTATGTATCATTAAATTTAAATTATGTCTTAGTTTATTTTCCTGTGGCCTCTATGCAAGGCAGTGTAAAAAAGATAACTTTAACCACATTTATGTTATTGAGATATTCAATATATTTTAACTGCGTAGGGATGCAATGATATGTTGCAAACCAGTAACATTCATTGCTATGCAGACGACAGCACTGGTGATGCCTTATATACGGGCCGTGCCAATATTTCTCGGGAAAACGTCGCCGAGTACCGGGATAAACTTGTGTCTGAAGTCGAGTCTTTGCTGAACAAAGTCTCGGATTGGGGCCGACTAAATCTAGTCCAGTTCAATCCCCAGAAGACACAAGTTTGCGCGTTTACCGTTTAAAAGAACCCCTTTGTCGTATCTCCTCAGTTTCAAGGCACTCCCCTTGCTGCCTTAGCTAGCATCGGAATCCTCGGCGTCGACATATCGAATAGTGTGCAGTTTCGTGATCACTTGGAAGAAAAGGCCAAATTGGCCTCTAAAAAGCTTGGCGTGCTCAGTAGAGCGAGGCAGTATTTCATGCCGGCACATCGCTTGCAACTTTACAAAGCGCAAGTTCGACCTCGACATGGAATGCTGTTCTCATCTCTGAGCCGGGGCACGCCAGTGCCAGCTGCTTCCACTTGACCGCATCCAGCGCAGAGCGGTTCGAATCTTCGACGACTGGGTTCTTTCTAATCGGCTCGATACACTGGCACTGCATAAGGATGTTGCATCCTTTTGCATTTTCTATCTAATTTACCACGGGGAGTGCTCTGAGGAATTGTTCGGATTAATTCCAGCCGCTAAATTTCACGAACGCACATCGCGTCAAAATTCACGATACCATCCTCACCATCTGGATGCTTGGCGGTCCACGACTGTGCGTTTTACTAGGAGTTTTCTTCTTCGTACAACTTCTCTGTGGAATTGTTTTCCACCGGCGATTTTTCCGGACCGATACGACTTAAAGACCTTCAAGAAAAAAGCTTACACCTTTCTAAAAGGCCAGCAACGCATCTGCAATTCCCCTGGTGTTGCGGTTGTTCATGGGCGGCGGTAGTCACTTATATAATGTACTCTGTGTCACTTACCATCAGGTGAGCCGCATGCACGTTTGCCCTCTTTTCTATAAAAAAAAATTAATTTATAAACCGTTTATTTTTTCAAAGTAGCAATATAAAATAATTTTTTATAAAATATAAGATGGATTAATTAGAATGTTTTCTTGATATACGGCTACTCATATTACCTTATAAGTGCAATATGGTTATAATAGGGGTATTTTAATAACACAAAATTGCTTAACCTTGACGTGTCGAGAGTAGAATACACCCAACGCTTCGCGTTTTGAGGCGTGTAATATGTGTAATGAGTTCACAACTGTCAGAGCCATGTTAACAATGTTTGTATTCCTAATTATAACATATCTAATCTAATACACCGATTAAAATAATCTTCTGTAGTCTCTTAATATTGAATATGAAAAAATCAATTGCTGTCCGATAGTCTCGCTAATCACGAAGCCGGAGCGGATCGCTTGTTTTATTAAATACTTGTAGTATATTGTAGAAAGGGTAAGGTACAAGATAAGCTGACGCTACTAATAATATTTGTTTTATTTTTAATTGTTCCATTTTTATGCAAGTGCATTTCTCGGAAATAAATCAGAAAGTTAATTGTTAAAAATAATAATAGTATGAGAGCGGATGTTCAACTCCCGCAATTAATCAATATTGACAATAAAACAGCGTATTGCACTATACATTCCGTATAGAGCAATAGTTCAACCATATCGTAATATACTCCCGTCACAATTAAACAGCAGTGTTAGTGTTGCCCAAATGCAATAACAAGATGAGACTGGTCTTGGTCTTGCGCCAATACACCTGGTTTTGGTCTTGGTCTTGGTATTGCGCTCCCAGTCTTGGTCTTGGTCTTGGTCTTGCAGCAAGAGTCTCGCAATTACCTATTAGCCTATTACTATTTATTAAACGTTACTTTTGATCTTAGAACAACTTAACAGAGTAGGTACATATTGAGCTTAAATTAACATAGCCATAGTAAAGGCAAACCAAATTAATAAATGTCTAAACATTTAATGAGAAATTCGAAAAATCAATTGACACCCGGTAGGATTTGAACCCACGACCTAAGCGATCCATGCCTATCCTCTAACCAACTGTGCTATCTACCATGTCCCACGGCTAGGGGCGTCAGTCTGTTTCTTAATAAACGTTTACATTTAATAAGCTTACATGTGCTAAAACATGGTTAAACATAAAAAAACAAATAAATGGCAATAACTTCACTGTATTTTATAAAATATTATCTGTCTAGAAAGAGATTGATGGACCCTCACCATATATGAAATGGAATAAAAGAGCTATACAATATACCATTTATTTAATTTAAATAAAAAATAAAATACGATACAAATTAAATTACTTCACAGTATCTACATAATAGCTTTGACATTACTGTTACTTTATATTAATTCTTTTAACAAAGCATTAATACAAAGTAACCATCTGGCTGACTCATCACTTAATCTATTTCTAAGTTTTCTAATTACTAATGATGCTTTAGAAAATAATCTCTACGCAGGTACTGAAATTGCAGGTATTGAAAGAAAATCACGGGCCATCATCGATAAAATCGGATATTTTGTCTCATGCGTCCTCCACCACTCTAAAATGTCTTACGAGCTGGTGGCTCTGGGTTTACTTAGGTACTCCTCCAACTCGTTAATAACTAAGCCTTGAAGACAAGATCCAGATCCATTTTTACACATTTCAAGTGTTTTAAAAGTGTCTACTATATTTATAAAATGGTTCACGACATATTCGAGCACTTTGTGTTTTAAAAACACACACTTCCAAAAGTCGAGATTTGCAGTGAACTTATTGAACATGTTTATCTATTAGGTAATAATAATAATAGTAAGTAATTATTATAAACCCATATAGTTAATGTTATAATAATTACTTACTAGGATAAATTATTGATATCTACCTATCCTTACCATCATCTAATTACAATCTTCCTTGCGAGATCAGCATAATGTATTCGTGTCCATTCTGATTACCCGGAAAGTTATTTTATTCTTTGGAACATGTACTCTGTGGCGGCAATCAAACAGTGTCAAATGTAGTGCGTGCGGCGCGGCGGCGACGATTGTATGATATATCAATAGTAGCCGCTGGCACGTGTATCTTGACCTTGTACTTTCGAATAGCTGCACAATTACTTTGACAGGTTAGTATCTGACCTTTGATGACGCCGACAACAAGACGCCGCACACTATCAAAAAAGTGCCGATGGTCAAAACTAGTGATGCACTCTTTTTTCTTTTAATGGATATTTTTATTTGCTATGTATGTAAGTCCAATTTTCCATTTTTCCATTATATTTTTTTGCGTCTCATAGAGGCCGTAAGCGTATATCCGAACTCCTATACTCCCTGAAATGACACTCAGTCCTAACTGCAAGACACAAGAGTCTCGCAAGCTTAGTCTTGTTCTTGCGCAAATCTAGCACGGGCAGTCTTGGTCTTGGTCTTACTAAAAATAGGCGGTCTTGTTCTTTGTCTTGGTCTTGCAAAAATGCAAGAACAAGACCAAGACTGCAAGACTAAAACCGATTTTGGGCAACACTACAGTGTAACGTGAGGGACGTAATTACTTGATAACACCAAAATATGTAAACCAACAGCAACACTATCCATTGCATTGTAACACAGATCGTACTCTCAGCAACGCGATCTTCTTTGCCCGCACTAAAAGAATTACTACAACGGACATAACCCCGATACTGTCATTAGCACTCATAGAATGATTTAGGTGGAATCTCCCGCACACGGCGCCTACAGTAAACTTAGTTGAAAGTCACTCTCTTTTGCTTAATTTACCATTAGCTCACAGATATAGATACTCGTGATATAATATATACTTTTAGCTTGCAATCGCATTTCTGAAAACTCATCAACAAGCAAATAGTATTAAGAGATTGAGACCCCATATGAATATGAAGTATACGAGTGAATTATATCTAGGTAATGAAGTGATAATTAAAAATGTAGTTTTCTAAACTCACCATCTGGTAAATCCGTACCCAAGATATCTAACTTTTGTCCGGGAGTAGAACCATATTCGATTTCCAATTTATGTGGGACGTTATTGGTGGCTTTGTCGCTGGCTGAAATAAAACAATAATTATTTACGATTGTTCATTTTCTCTTTACTCTCTAAATTGGAGTATCATTTTCAATACTAATGTAAAATACGAACTTAAAATACTCGCTAACTAACCACAAAATATTTTATGTTCTCTTTGTTATTTCTTCAAAATTTAAGATTAAAGTAGTAAATGTGCTCCTCCTGATGGTAATTGACCACTGTATGCCATGACCATCTGTAAGCACTAGGATGAAAAACCTATCAACATGTAATAATACTGACTCTTTTATCCTTAAAATCGGAGCACGGCAGAGGACGCACTCCTGCCTGGAAGTAAAAATTCCTTCTGTAATGTGCTTGAGCCTACTATTATTTATGAAACTGAAGTGACAACAAACGAAATTTATTCCACCTGATGGTAAGTGGTTAGATACTGTAGTTAATTGACACTTTAAACGAAGAAGTCTACAGATATGTTGTCAACTGTGAGGACTAAGGTGGAATGCCTCACAACCTGAAATTATACTGGCTCTTCCTGCCTGTTAGATCGAAACACAGCAGTATAATACCCAGACAGACTCATAGGCAGAAATGGAACCCTAAGCAACCCGGAAGAGAAAAATGAGTCTTACTACCTGTGATATGACGGTTGCAGCACGAGTGCATCGACCTGACCGGGGAAGGACTACGCTCTCAGATAATACCAGCGTCAAATAACAGCTTAATGCGCCTGTGTTTTGAACGGCGGGTGTAGAGAATCGGATACCCTATATAAAGAATTATCTGTGTCCAGAGTAACTAAGTATCTACGTTTTGGTTCTTAATCGGGGAGGGTAAAGAAGAATTTTCTATTAATTTCAAAATCTAATGAATTTATTGGCATAACGATATTAAAATTCTGAAACTGTAGTTCATATGAATTCACTCTCTTCGATATATTATGCCAAGAACGCTGACAGGGATTCCTCGCATAATGGCATAATATTTTAAAAGATAAACTGTGACCTATGCTGATAGACCGGTCTTTAATCTGTCATTACTACACAAAAGTAATAGAGAACAATATATTTTAAGGTTTAGGTTTTTATATTATCTTGAATATTAACATAATTTTTTTTGAAAATGATATAAGATATTATAATTGCAAATCACCGCTAAAATTATCAGTTTTCGAACAGCGTTAACGGTTGCCTATTATAATATCGATATCGTTCAGTTTTTTACTTAAAATATAATAAACAATATTAACAATATAACTAAGAGAGGCAACCATGGCAAATTCCCTCTTTAAGTCAATCGAGGAGGGTTATGTTCAGTAGTGGACATTTAAAAGGCCTTAACGGTAAAGGTAGAAGAAGTTTTAATGAAAATCGGCACGTAATCATTGAGATAATATGTTACTATTACGTAGTAACATATTATCTCAATGCACGTAATAAGGTACGTGAGGGTAATATGGTCACCTTAAGTTTTGCTGCCCTATAAAACCAAAACTATGAGGATGACAGAGACAAAAACACAAAGTCGTATGCTATAACCAACATATTAAGATAAACAGCAAATAAGCTTTGGCTATAGGAACATTTCGAAAAAGCAACTTAAGAAAGACAGACAATACTAAAATCGACTAAACTATTTACTATAATGTCAACTGTCAAAATGGCGTCGTTAAATTTTTAACTTTTATTTACTGATGACGAGCTATCGTATCACAGAGCCATCTATGCAAATAAGGTTATAGTTTTTAAATCATAAGAAAAGACCATATTAACCGGATGACCATATTACCCTCACCTATTAATCTATCGGGTTAGGGAAAAGTGTTCACAATATCACCATTTTATTACGTCCATGACAAATCCCAAGCGCGTAATGCAAACATTACGTGTATCAAGTTAAAAGAATTCAGCTGGAAAAATTTACCACACTACCCTTACTCACAGATCTCGCATCAACGGACTTTATCTTTTCCGGTCACAACATAATTATGAATCCCTTACCTTCAGTGACAAACTGGACATGATGTTGCAGCACTTCCTGCGCAGTGGAAAACCTGGTTGACCATCTGCTTGGAGAATACTCCTTTTCAAGGTCGTAGGAATCTGTGATAACAGACATATCCGCGTCAGAAACCTGGGAGAAAACGATGTTCGGCTTATTATTTTAGTTCCATATAATATAATGATTTCTTATATTTACGCGAACACTACACATTTTTAAATAAAACTAATTTTACGGATTTTATCGCGTATATTAACTTATTTTTATATTCCCGACGTTTCGGGTGCTTTCCAGCACCCGTGGTCACGGGGGACTGAGTTGTTTGACGTCCTGCTGTCATAGTTAGCCCGGCAACCTTCAGTTTCTTAATATTAATTTTTGTTTTACAGACAGTTTTAACGACATTTGATTTTAATAATTGCATTGAAACTTTAAACAAACGCGATATATCGAAATATAATGAATGCAAAGACAAACAAATAGAAAAATATCAAAAATTAACTATCAAATCAAATGCCAAACATCCATGTCAACGTAGAAACGAAACCACAGAACACTAATACCCTTAGGCGGGAACGAAACGCAACAACCGTTGACCACAGACGCAAACAATAAACAACGCACGGTCTATAATTTGTCAAAAGAAACACTGGACGAACCTACAATAAAAGTATTGTCGAAAGGCTTAAATTTTGCTATAACGCCGCAAAAAATCCCGTACGAGGAAATTATCGGTAGTGTTGAGGATTGTCTGTTTAAGAATAATATCGGTAAAGAGGATTTAGAGGCTATACGTCAAGACATTTCGTCCTTGTTACGTCGAAGTTCAGCGCCGAAACTAAATCTTCCCAAAGACGAATTTAAAGCGTTGTACAACTTACGCAACAGACCCGAGCTCACGATTCTCCGCGCGGATAAAGGAAATGCTACGGTAATAATGGACACGTCAGAGTATAATTACAAAATACAACAACTTTTATCGGACGTAAGTACATACAAAAAGGTCAAAATAGACCCTACGACTCATCATCATCATCATCATTACAGCCCTTCACAAGTCCACTGCTGAACATAGGCCTCCCCCAAAGAATGCCACAAAGCACGGTCCTGAGCCACCTGCATCCATCGACTTCCTGCATGTCTTACCAGGTCGTCACTCCATCTCGTAGGGGGACGCCCTACACTTCGCCTACCGGTACGAGGCTGCCACTCGAGAACCTTTCTTCCCCATCGGTTGTCGGTTCTTCGAGCTATATGGCCGGCCCACTGCCACTTCAGCTTACTAATCTGTTGGGCTATGTCGGTCACTCTGGTTCTACTGCGGATATCCTCATTCCTAAGTTTATCGCGCAGAGAAACTCCGAGCATAGCCCTCTCCATAGCTCGCTGAGCGACCTTGAGCTTCCTCATACGGCCAGCAGTGAAGGACCACGTCTCAGTTCCGTAAGTCATCACTGGCAACACGCACTGGTTGTACAATTTCGTTTTAAGGTTTTGAGGTATGTCTGACGAGAAGATGTGTCGTAGCTTCCCGAACGCTGTCCAGCCGAGTTGAATCCGTCGATTGACCTCTCGGTCGAAGTTGGACTTACCTAGTCGGACTATTTGTCCCAAATAAACATACTCGTCAACAACTTCGAGCTTAGTGCTCCCAACAACTACCGGCATAGGTGTGACATGGACATTAAACATGATCTTTGTTTTGTCCATGTTCATCTTAAGACCTATCCGTTGGGAAACACTATTGAGGTCATTGAGCATAGTGCTTAGGTCCTCCAGCGATTCTGCCATAAGGACTATATCGTCGGCAAATCGAAGGTGAGTGATGTACTCGCCATTGATGTTGATACCGTATCCTTTCCAGTCCAGAAGCTTGAAAACGTCTTCCAATGCAGCGGTGAAGAGTTTCGGGGATATGACGTCACCCTGTCTTACACCTCTCTGCAATTGGATAGGTTTCGTATTCTGGTTCTGTACTCGGATAGCCATCGTAGCCCTACTGTACAAGCACTTCAACACTTCGATATACCGACAGTCAACTTGGCACCGCTGAAGGGACTGCAGCACCGCCCAAATTTCGACGGAATCAAAGGCTTTCTCAACTAATACACTCAAAACAACTACTGATTTAATAAAGAAATACTCCGAAAAATTAGATCTTGACGTGAATTCGACAATACCATCATGTGCCAAACCACCGAGGTTGTATGGGTTACCTAAAATACACAAACCAAACGCTCCACTACGTCCTATAGTAAGCCAGGTCAATTCACCAACTTATAAGTTGGCTCAACACTTGGCAAAAATACTGTCACCACTAAGAGGACATACCAGAGCACACACAAAGGATTCATACCAATTTGTTAGTGAGATTAAAGACCTACATCTCGCTGACAATGAAAGAAACTATGGTCAGTTTTGATGTTCAGTCACTATTCACATGCCTACCTATTGAAGACTGCATCTCAATTGTTACTAGAAAGCTAGAAGATAACAACATGCCTACAGAATATGCAGTATTACTCAAACACTGCCTCACATCTGGCTATTTATTGTGGAAAGAAGAGTTTTACATGCATGTAGACGGAGTGGCAATGGGCTCACCTGTATCTCCCGTAGTCGCCGACATATTCATGGAGGACTTTGAGGAGAAAGCCCTTCTTACTGCTCCTGTAAATCCAAGATTCTACAAGCGGTACGTAGACGATACTTTCACAATTTTACCATCTGACAAAGTAACTGCATTTTTAAACCACCTTAATTCCATAAACCCTAAAATACAATTCACAATGGAGTTAGAGGCAAACAATACTTTAGCTTTTCTAAATGTTTTAGTCATCCGAAATCCTGATAACACTATTGGTCATACTGTGTACAGAAAAAATACCCATACCAACCGATATTTAAATGGTGAATCTCACCATCATCCTTCACAGTTAGCTACCGTGGGAAAATCTTTGTTTCAGAGAGCACGAGGGATCTGTGACAGAAAACATCTGGCCGCCGAGCTTCAGCACGTCGAGCAAGTACTGCAAGACAACAAGCTTCGGGTCCCGCGCCTACGTCACAGTGACCGAGTGAAGCCAGCCACAGTCGAGCGTGTGCCTGCTGTACTACCCTATGTCAGAGGAGTCACAGACAAGGTTGGCTACATCTTGAAGCGAGCTTCCATTAAAACGTACTTCAAGCCGCTGAAGAAGATTGGTCAATTTTTACCATCCGTCAAGTGTCATATCCCTCTACAAGATGCAGGAGTGTACAAGCTGGATTGTGAATGTGGTCTCTCGTACATAGGACAAACAAAAAGATCTATTAAAACCCGCGTTAAAGAACATATAGCTGACGTGAAGCACCGACGTATCGGGAAGTCTGCAGTTTGTGAACATGTTCAGGATCGTCCCCGTCATTACATTAGATTTGATAGACCACAAATCCTCGCAAAAGAACACCGATTCCTCCCAAGGATGATTCGCAAGGCTATTGAAATTAAAAAACATCCTAATTTCAATAGAGAAGATGGATGGGTGCTGCCATCTGCTTGGGATCCCATAATTAATAAAATCAAATCCAAACCCAAGTATACCACTGCTAGACTTCAAGATACTGTAAGCATTCTGCGTAAATCGAACCAAAAATTAATATTAAAAAACTGAAGGTAGCCGGGCTAACTATGACAGCAGGACGTCAAACAACTCAGTCCCCCGTGACCACGGGTGCTGGAAAGCACCCGAAACGTCGGGAATATAAAAATAAGTTAATATACGCGATAAAATCCGTAAAATTAGTTTTATTTAAAAATCCATATATATATATATATATATATTATCATCACCAAGCATCACGTCCAAGCAATATCACAAAACACTGATTTGAACCTGTATGTAACGACACATGCCTTATCAGGTATTCTTTTTTTAAATTTTATCATTGAATAATGGTAACAAACGAGCATACAACTGATCTGATGATCTGATGAGGCCCATTAACATCTACGTCTATTCGCGATTAAGAATCAAAATGCAGATACGTTGTCACCCATGAGAACTAAGATGGTATGTCTCGTATCCAGTAAAAAGGGTCTCCAGTTCTCTACCTTCACCGCTAAATACGTGGCAATTCGGCACTTGAAATTTTCCTAACAATTTCATTGGTACCCGCGGGGATTGACTCCGGGTTGGTCGCGTACTGTGGTATTTACAGCGCTTAGCCTCCCAGCAACCACAGCTCTCAAGAATCTGTTATATTTGAAACGAATTTTGCTAAAAGAAAGATAAACCGTTACGAGCTTGGGGTTTGAGACAATTAAAAACTGCCGAGTGAATTACCAAAATTGACACTTTAATTTCAGAACACTAATTACAATTTAAAACCACACTAATAATATAACACAATTGTACTACTGATCACTATAGTTCGCAGTTGTATCACTTTAAAGTATTCGCTTGTATCGCCTATTCAACACCCTATACCTGCCTTATATAGGGACTCAGATAGTTCCAGAATCTTCTACTGTAGAAACATCATTTTGCTTCATATCTCAAAGTTAGATGACCGTGCTAAAATTTGTTTTACCAGCAGTACACGGTCGCGTCAAAAGGGTATTTTTTCATTAACACCATTTGAAGTATATCAAACGATTGTCCGGTTTTAGATGACATTTAAAATCGTATGAAAACATCCCGCGAAAAATGTTCAGAGGCAGATAATTTTTACAAGGAAACACAATTTTTCAATTTAGCTTGTAAAAATGTGGGGGGAAATTTTGAACTAGAACTATTTTACTTGTAAATACTTAAACGTATTTAAATAAATAATTAATTGGCCAGTGTCTCATATAACATAAAACTGGTTTTCAGAAAACTTTCTTCTTTTTTAAACTATTTGGGTGACAAACGAGCACACAGTCCACCTGACCTTAAGTGGATGCTGTGGCCCATAGACATCTACATTTATCCTCGATCAAGAATCAAAATGCAAATGCGTTTTCACCCCTGAGGACTACGATTAACTGCCTCGTTTCCAGTCAAATGGTCTCCGGTTCTCTACACTCACTACGAAACACATCATCATTCAGCTGCTATTTTACGCTGGTATTCTGTGAGAGCATGGTACCCCGG